ATCGTGCGACAAATTGACATCAGACAAACATCATGCGTGTTAGCCTCCCACTCAACCTGAAAAGTTACATACTAAATGTGGGGCATAGTCCTGGAAAAAACAGATTGTGGTACAATGAAAATAGCAAGAAAAGATCTTAGTGACATCAAGTGTGTTTCATAAGTTCTACTTAACATTGCAATACAAAAAGGAATTTTAGTACTCATAGCTATCAAGATCATGAATGAGAAATTACAGACAAAACATTGATACATGATACCTAATGAGCAATCAGCGATCACCAATGAACAATAGATTAGATTTTTAACACATTCCGGGAGAAAGAGTCCAAAAATGAATGTAATAGGTTCACATTGTGGCTTCACTGCAAGAAAAGTATCAATAAAGACAAATAAGAAGTGTTGAGGTAAGATTGGACAAAGTGTGAGGTAAACATTTTTCTCATATTTACATACACCACATCAGACTTGACATCATAGAATGGCTAATTCAAAATAATAAAAAAAAAAGGCTTCAGGCCGTTCTCCAATAGAAAATAAATTTTCAAATAGAAAACTAAAACTGTTCCTTGATAAAAAAGCAAGTTAAACTAGTGAAAGATTGAACAAGAATTGACGCATACTTCATGTACTTGTCAAAAAGTCAACATAACACAAGTGCACGAGTAATAGTTCATTAGAAAATGGCACAGGGAGCAGTTGACATTTGGGAGCTTTGAAAGCATACTTAACAAGTTCCAAAATTAATTTGAAAGAGATACAATATTATGGTCAACTGTTTTTCTAGTTAGTATTTTCTTTGTCATGACTTCTATCTCTACAGAATGACACACAACATTGTTAGGAGCTAAAACTAAAACTCTGAAATTAAAATCTACAACACAGCTTGTAAGCGGATTGAGCCCTTTGAAAAACAAATGTTTGGCTTTGTACACACAAAACAGAAAAACAGATTACACCAAAATAAATATAATCCACTGTTAGTCAATAACACAGGCCACTATCAAGAGCAGAAAAGAAACATCTGAGAACACCAAGGTACGAAGATGATTTAAGGGTACCAAGGACATTTGGTACCAACTTGCGAGTTGCTCAGTGCAAGCAACTCACTTATCATACTGAACTTGCTACAATTTATAACTTATCATTGCAGCTAGGTACATAATTCGAAGTAATAAAATCTGCATTAAAAAAACCCTCTTGGTAGGAAAATCAGCATACACACAAGGAGACCTAATACAGTAATTGTCAGTGTTTGAGACTATTTTGTCCTAGCGTATCAAGTCAATAATGTGCAAACATTTCAGAAAATTGAGACCATAGAGAACATTGATTCCTAAATTATACGTACAGTATGCTGAGATGTAAAGATGCTTTTCTTTACAAAGCATTGATGGTATATACAAATATACAGCCTTAAGAATAACATAACTTCAAAATGAAGTCTATCAGTCTTTCAAAAACCTCCTGAATAATTTACATCTCCTCAGCAGTACCGGACCACCCTGACTATAACTTTAAAAAAAACGAAGGCAACAACAGTCTTATTTAATATTAAGAAAACCATGAATATTCCAACAAAACTTTTCAAAGTTCTCTCTAAAACGATCACGATTACAACGGTTTTCTCTTGGTCTTGCACAATTATCTAATTCAATGGATTCGGTTAGGTTTGTGAAAGCTGTTGCTAATCTCTCAGCCACAGAAGGATCTGGTTGGTTGTGCAGAAGTGTTTGGACTGCTACTTTGTAGTCTTCCTACAACAGAACAGGTAAAACTCTTGCTTCAGAGCACATTGACAAAAAAAAAAAAAAAAAAAAAGAATTCTACAAGAGAGAGGTAATTACTCACTGGAAAACAGCAAATCAGAACAAAGAATGTTGAGCCTACAGCAGACTGAAGCTCTGTAGGAACTTGATCTGACAGGATTAGGTTTAAAAATATCTGAAATTATAAAAATGATAATCATAAAAAAATGTAGCCAAACTACTCCAAGATAAACCAGTTGAAAAAAACAAAAACAAAAACATGATTGAAACTTACACCGAGAAAGGGTTGAAACGCAATATAAACTTCACTTCCCTTCGGCACATTTTGAAGGACGCTAGTGCCAAAACTGTGTAAGAAGCTACAACTTAATTCCATAATTTCCTGACCGAAAGAAACCAAGCCAACTTCAACTGAAGCTAGCATTCTCTTAAGAAGATCAGATGGTAGGGAACAAACCTATAAACAATAACAAATAATGATCAAGAAATAATGATTAATAAAAAGAGAAATTTTAAAAAAGCACAAAAAAACAAATACAAGATGAGCAAGCTATGGCACAAGAAACAATCATTTACGTCTCATACCTTTTCAGGTATCATCATCACTATATACATTATAGTTTTGTAATACTGAGTACACAATTGTGGGTATTTAAGGAGGTCTCCTGTCATCAATGGCATGATTATGTTAAGCCCATATATTACAACATCAGATGCAGCCACACCAGGTTGCTGTGTTTCAGGTGATGCTGTTAACAGAATTCAGGATCCAGCTATCACAATTATATTCAAGAATCTTTGACAGCATTACTAAAACCCATACAAACATGAAGTACTTACAAGATGTGTACAGATCTAGATAATCTTTGGACAGCAGATTCCTTAAGAGTTGGAGAAGCAACAATATGTCTCTGAATGTTTCTTCTTCAGAAGCCTTCTCAAGGGAGAGACGATTTGTATTCCATTGAGCATAAGTTTGAATCGTTTGCAAACATGCATTAAACATTTTTCTGCTCTCTTCCTGCAAAAATAAGTCACTGCTGTGAGAAAAAAAATTACACTGCTTGGCAAGAGTGGTTGTAAACTCATTAGATGGTTAGGATCACTGCCAAATTTTGACAAAGAACCTTCTATGGTCAAAGGTGATAAGCAACAGCAAGAGTGGTGACATAATCAACACAGTCCTCCAAAATTATCATGGTAACATTTTCCGTATTACCAAGTAACCTTGTGCAATTGGAAACTCTAGAGCGCTTTGCTGGTTTGTCCACCCTACATGATGTTACACCGCGCCGGACGTGTTAAGGTCAATAAAAAAATAATTCATTAATTAGGAAAGAGAACTGAGTGAGGCAAAAGCAAAAATTCTGCTTCAAATAAGAGATGCGGGTGCTAGAAAGTATTGCAGATTAGCTTGTCAATTGGTAATAGCACAGTGAATCTAAGCCCTCAATTGGTCTAATCTGCAAAAAGGATACAAACTAAACAGAGCAGTTTAAGGAATGTCTTTCTAAACTCAACAACAACCAAAGATTAGAGGATCCCTGCTCCGGGTTCACGAGCCAGGCCCTAACTTGCTCACGCAGATGCTTGCAAAAAAGTCCTCTAGAACGCAGCCTTCCGTCTCTTAACGTTGTTGAGTAGTATAGCTTATAAATCTTTAAATCGTGCGACAAATTGACATCAGACAAACATCATGCGTGTTAGCCTCCCACTCAACCTGAAAAGTTACATACTAAATGTGGGGCATAGTCCTGGATGAGTTGTCGGCACAGTTCCAAGCCCTGCCGTTTGTCTTCCTGGAAGACATAAATGACATTTGGAGTTCTTTAAGACTCCAAAAAAAAAAAAAAAGGAAGGGAAAAAGAAAATCTCTAACTAGGGTACTTACGAAAAGCAAACAATATTAAAAGGACTTTATATATTCCCTAGGCACTAAACATCACAAACAGAAACAAAACAAAACAAAGAAAATAGATGCAACAAACCTGATCCAAAAAACTGAGTATTTGTCGAGCAGATTCCACATGCAACTCAAGTATGAGTTCAACAACATTTTGATAGTTGTGGTAAAGTCCTATTAAAGTTGAAAATTCAGATAAAACTGGAGCAAGGTACTGAAAAATAGCCTCTGCAGTGCCACATTGAGCTCCTTGAGCGACACCTAAAAAGATTCAGATTAAATTAGATTTGATAAATGAAAACCATGTTGAGTGACAGGGGATCATAAATTAAGAACTGACCGATAAAGTGATCTAAAATTTCAATAATGGCTGATTTGACACGTTCTTCGTGATAGTTTCTAGCAAAGCACTCATGGCATACAATACTCTTAAATCTATCTTGTATAGGTTTGAGAACCTGGAAAATATAGGTTAATTTTTATATATTGTTTTTAACAATATATGCACAAGTTCAAAAAAGACAGAGGTTTAAGGGGGGAAAAAATCATAGATGGATAGAAAACATACTTGATTCCAGTATTCAGCTCTATTATTTTCAGGTAGGCCAGCTGCTGCGAGGATAAGTGCAGCATACAGTCCTCTCTTGGCTTGCTGTGGCAGTGTTCCCTCAGGCAAATTTTCTTGCAGATGAACTATGTTTAGAATACCCTCAGTTTTTAAAACACAGGCTGCCCTAAACACAAAGATTCGCAATGTGTTAAACACTTTAGCAAGCTGAAGCAGGCATCAGAAACTACAATTTATAAGGGAATGAGACGACTTACTTTTTTTTTGTGGAGACCATAGATCTAAACATAGCAACTGTTTCCTTTACAAGTTCAGGTTCAGCATTAAAATATTTCAAATTGGATTCAATCTTTCTTAGAAGAAAGTTAACAGTCCAAGTGGCCCCTTCAGTATCAGCACCAAAAGCAGTCATAATAGCCATGCTCATCTGAAATGCACCATTTGTTGTCTAAAGTTTTTGACCTCATTAAGACAGAAATGAGAGTGATAACTAACAATGTTTACCTCTGAATAGTAAGTTTCAACTGGAAGCAGGTAGCATCCACACCATCTCTCCAAGCACCACATAAGTGAACGTCCAACTTCTGGACTAAGTAAATGTCCCAATTTAGCTTCAGCAGCCTTCTTTTCTACTTCACAGAGTCGGAAAAGAGCTGCAATGAGTCTGATAATGTGATCTGAAGACTGTTCAGCTCCAGGAATGTCCAGTATATGGTGATCAGGGGAAGCCAGAACTTTCATAGTAGTGTCTATATTAATCGAACTTGATTGAGATATACTGTGCTTGATTATCTCACTTGGAATCTGTGGAGTTTCTCCTTCACTGTCCCAAGTTATAACATTTCCTAAAGGGAAGGAAAAAAGGTAACTTCTGTATTCTATTACTAAATTTTGAGAAGCGTTAAGAGTAGCGTACAGAGTTTGGTATTCTACCTGATATTAAAATGAGCCAGTGAATGTCTTCACTAAGGTTGTTTAAAATATTTGAATCACTTATATGCATTGCTTGTTGGCTCATGCGCTGAAGCTGTCCGTGCAAACGACTTGTACGTTCCTCCAGTAACTTGCAGAGTAAGGGCAGTGAATGCCCAGGTACGTGTCTTCCAAGTGCACCAAGGGACTGCAGCTGGTCCTTGAACTTGGTTTGATCATCCTCTTCAATTTCACCTATCTCTTCAGCTTCAAGCTCATGGCCCATACCTCTCGTTCCATCAGGTGGCGATAAGTGACACTTAAGGTAGGTGTTGAAAATCTGAATGCAAAAATCTGGGGGAAAGACACTTGCCTTCCTTACTATACCAACACAAACCCCCAACATGTGTTCAAAAGCTTCCATGTACAATGTGTCTTCAACATTCATTGACTCTTCAAGAGCTGCTCCCTCTCCAAACTGGCAAGTAAGACGAGTGAACTGCTGCAGAACATTTACTAGCAGATCTTGGTTAATGTCTGTGAGCCAGGAAGGTGATGCACATAACCACATCTTGCGCACCATATTTGAGATTCCAAGAGCTTCTCTATCTAATATTTCAACACTGAAAACAGATGAAAAATAATGCAATTATTCAAAGGACAAAGATAAACATCAAAAGGATTGATCAATGAACACAGACTAAGAAACACACCTTGAAATAAGATTTAAAAAGCATTGAATATACGCTGTGAGGTAGGCAAGTTCATCAGATTTTGATAAAAGTATTTTGCCATGTAGAGATGCGAGCTGAACTAAGCAGGTGAGTGCATGGTGGGCTAGTTGAGGATTGTCTCGAACGTTCCAATAGATCTATGTGAATTGAGTTTATAAAGTATTATAACAGCTATTTACCATAGGAATAAAAATAATTGGTCACTTGGGTTACCTCAAAAAAGATGTTTGGCTGCAACAAACAACTTTTCCAATTCATGGGTGGACACAGCGAGGGGTTGTCCCCTAATTCGTATCGTACTTCCACTAAGCCAGCGAGCTTCTTAAAAAGCGGTAAACATGATCATTAAGGAAGATATGATTATTAAACACACAAATCTCAACAAAAAAAGCATAATTGACATTATAAATTTTTAGCAAAGGATATGTCTTCTTGTGGTAAACTGCCAGGTCAAGACCCCCTCCAAAATGGCTAGAAGCTGCTTCATGAGCACACACACGGTATTGTTGAAAGGCTTTTCTGCTTTAATTAATTCAGTAATAGCTCGAAGACAAAACTCAAAAATGCGCTTCAAGTCTGTTGACTGCACGTGAAAGAAAGTGAGTCAAAAATAGTAAAAACAAAGTTCAAGAGTATTAACCTTTTTTTTAAAATATATTAAATTTAACAAACCTCAAAATTCTTTTTCACTTTATAATGTACTTCATATCGCAGCCCTATGTCTGCTGACTTCACAGTGATAGCATGCTCCTGCATGATTGCAAACATTAGGCTGCAACCTAAAACTTGCTGTAATTTGGTTAAATTATGATGAGGACTGGACATCTTTCTTATTTATACGTAAATGCATGTATAAACTGTATATATTTAAATATATGAAGGGTTTATAATAATGAGTGTAACTTACCCTGGGTAAATCGCCACTCATAACAAGCATTTCAATTTCATCAAAAAGTTTGGTACGCTCTGGAACTGGCACAATTAGTACACTACTGCGTCTTTTAACCATTATGGCAATTACCTAAAATCATTAAAAAAATTATAAAAGAAGTTGTCTTTATTCTACAAGTGAACATACTATTATGGGCAACTATAAAAGCTTTAATTCAGATAAAGTTTAGTTCTTGTGGAAGAATCTCACCTGTAGAATTCTTTCCCGCACAAAGGCAGCGAGAGTTGCGTTTTCAATTACATAACTTAAAAGATATTGCTGAAGTGATTTTATTTCTTCGTCAGTCAAGAGAGACCACTCACGAAGCACAGCTTCTTTGACCAGTCCAGCAGCTTCAAATAAAACATAGTCTACTTTGCTGGTCTCTGCAATCCAAAGACATCATACAAATAAGAGGGGAAAGAGGTCAAAGAGATAGTTATTCTAAAGGGTGTGATGAACAACATTTTAAGACCTACGGAGAATATGTTTGCAGAGTTCATAAGGTGATTTAGTTTTCCGAAATTTCATGAAGACAGCTTCAGCAGCATGGCGTTGCTCTGATGTGACAACATTGGGAGCTGCCTGCAGATCAGAAAGAAAAGATAAAATAAAATATGACACGCTTCACCAAGATGAACTGGATATTAAATGCAGGATTAATAAAACTGAAAAGAAGATTAGAACTAATACATAACCACAGCCAAGTACAAATTATAAAGAAGAACAGTATTAAGAAAAAGAAAGGGAATCACAAGACAACCTGAACAAAGCTTGCCAAATAATCAAATTAATTCAATTTAATTTTTAAATGATGCCAATTGAACATTTCTTGTGTGTTAAACCAGGGTTTAACTCCACTGAGCTTGCCACTCAGGGAGATAGGGCTTGAACATACCAACATCACACGCGCGGCGGCCTCGAGCTCCTCGAGAATGTGGTCTCCCATTTTCGAAATTCTACGCAAATAAACCAGAAAGGACAAAATAACAGTGAGTAAACAACAGTTCACTTTTCATTCGGTTGGCCATTCACCGAACGACTGTTGTGTGGCCGCTGTGGCCGCACTCAGCTCCGCTGCCGCCCTGCTGCTACACTGCTACCTGCGTTCAGCGCGCTGTGACGAGAGAGAACAAAACAAAGAAGAAGAAGCCCTCTGTAGCGAGCCGGCCTGGCCAAAGCAGTTCATGGTGTCTCAGGTGCCAAACTCGAAAAAGAAAGGAAGAAAATGATTCAGCAGCTCATTCAATGTCACTCGTTCAAGGCCACCCCATAGATTTCGATTAGCCGGGCTGCCCATCCCATCCGAGTACTGTCCAGTCAGTTGTTGTGAGTTGTTGGCCGTCTCTGTGATTGGTAAGCACTTACTTTTTGACTCCAATCTTCAAGTCTCCTAAATCAGCGACCATGCCAGTGAAAGCAGTGTGTGTGCTCATCGGTGAGACCGTCAAGGGAACCGTCAACTTCGAGCAAAGTGTAAGTTTTTTTTTCAGAATATGAGGAACGTTGATTTACCGATTTGTCAGTATGCTTTACATAAAGTCCTTGTCATCTCCAGGCGGATGGCGCCCCCGTACAGGTGTCAGGAGAGCTATCCGGACTAGCTAAGGGACTTCACGGCTTCCATGTCCATGAGTTTGGAGATAACACAAACGGTAAGTTGCTACCTTAAGAACTTTTCAGATATCTTTAAACTCAAGTTGGTTCCTGTTCTTGATTTTGTGCTGATTCATGCTTCCACTTTATTGTATGGATAACTCATTTATGTGTACAGGCTGCACCAGTGCTGGGCCCCACTTCAACCCTCTGGGCAAGGAACATGGAGCCCCCACCGATGCTGTTCGACATGCGGGTGATCTTGGAAACGTAGAGGCTGGAGCTGATGGTGTGGCAAAGATAAACATCTCAGACAAAATGATAAGCTTGTCAGGGCCTAACAGCATCATTGGCAGAACTGTTGTGGTATGTGTGATTACTTTATGACTTTCTGAACTGCTGTCGAATACCTTTTCACTACTTAAAACTATGGTTCTGTGCAGGTTCATGCTGATCCCGATGACCTGGGCAAAGGTGGCCACGAGCTAAGCAAGACTACTGGTAATGCCGGTGGGCGCCTGGCCTGTGGAGTGATTGGCCTCGCAAAGGCTTAATCAAACACATGCATAGCTGTATATTGCCCACACTTTTAATTTTAACCCATTACTATCTTGATTATAAATGTTCTCCAAAGTATTCATTCCACCCAATGATAGATTGAGTTCTATTCTTTGGTCTCTAGGGCAATGTTAAAATCAAAATGTACCTGTTTCTAAATTAAAGTTTTACATAAACAATGTCCTTAAATCCTTGCATTTACATAAGATGCCTTTATAAATGAGGAGACTGTCAAAAATTGACACAATGTAACACAGTGCACACCTTTAATATTTGTTTTCATACAAGAACAACCTCAAATGCAGCTCTTAAACTCTTTTCAGTTAAATTTGAGGCAGTATGTAAATCATGCTGCCCAATTCAGACACAACCTGGTTATGCAATGCCATGCCTAGAAGCTAATGACTTGGAGTCAGCTTGTTTAAGTCTATAGTCATGCTGACGAAAGAACGCAGTTGCCCCTACCTTCACTACGCTTTCCAGCCAGTGGGTGAGCTGTTCTTTTGTCAGACGGACAATACCATTTGTACCTACATATTGGACCATTTATGTTATAGACTATGTAGCTTGCACTTACATGCAGTTAGTAATAAGCAGCTCAGACTGATTTGGCTGCTGTGCTTTCCCATTCAGGCCCAGCACCAACCATTCTCTGCACTGACCTATCTTATGAGCATTATGTTCATGCCTTCAGTACTTTTTAAAATGGAACACATTACAATTTCAGACCATAAACAACTTAAAAACATTTTCAGAATAAAATAATTACTTTTAATACATATTGTCAGCAAAAGTGGAAGTGTACATTAAATTTCATCCACAAAGACTCTACAATTGATGTACAAGTTTTTTGTTTTTTTTCTTCCTTGTTTTCAAAACAGTGGGGCTGTACTAAGCAAAGCTACCCAGTGAGCAATGCAATATCAGACCGATATCAAAACGACATCAGATATCAGAAATTTGTCAGTTTTTGCATCAGATTGATAAAAATGTGGTCCTGAAATTGAAATGTTTCTGATCACTGATATCGTTCTGACATCAGTCTGACATTTCATTGCTCACTGGGTATGTGCACACAAAAAAAGAAAATCAAAATCAACTCTTAAATTCAACATTCAAATATTACAAAATACATTAAGTAAATAATTAGATAAAATAAGAAGTTTATAATGTGAAATCATTTCAATTTCATGGTAACAAGTAATAACATAGTTATAAAGATAGTTTCCCTCTCAACATTGATGTGTACTATCATCACAAAAAGAACTGAACCCCATTGGCTATAAATATCGCTACCAGAGGGGTTTAATTCTTGCTGTGCTGATGGTACAAACCAAAGCATAGATTCAACGGTCCCAATCCCAGAATTAACCTGGCAACAACAGTAAAGTGGTCAGTAAAAAAAAAGACTGAGTAGACCTATAAAAAGAAAATCAAGGTGCCAAAATCATACATCAATCTTGCATCACAGTATTAACCATTTATCCCTGATAAGATTCATATTATAGAAATTGTTTCAACAATCAAAATAACATTCATAGTAAGATTGACAGTATTTGATCATACTGGGGGGAGGGGAGTGAGAACAACTGGAACTAGTAGTGGATTTCCTTGACAAAGAAAATAGAAATATTGAAATGAACCATTTTTCTTACTTTAAGGGTGTATTCTAATGCAGAATTTTGTTCTGATTCATTGCTATGAAAATTATCTAACAGTCATGGGAAAATCTGGTTATTAGCCAAAACCCTCTTCCAGGTGGACTCACCAGAATTCAAGCTTGAGCTCAACATTTCTACTCAACCTGATCATGTTTCCCCGTAAAGTTAATTTGAAAAAGAAAACTTAAAACTATATGTTTGTAGCCCCAGGTAGATTTTTACTTTTTCTCAAAAAGCATGAGTGAGGGCCCTGATAACCCACGCAGGAAGGAATGTGGTCCAATTTCAAAAAAGTTTGTTTTTTTGGTAAGGATATAATTGATTGTATCTCACCCCCCCCCCC